AGAGGAGCATCAGGCTGCTCACCTGACCTGTACCACCACCCTATTCAAATGCTCCTCCTTCTGATTCCTGGGCACTTCAGCCAACAAGCTTACATCTGTGATAGAATCTCCTTCATTAAAATGCAGGGTCCTATTCTGCCCCAGAAGGGGGTTGGCTGAGCTTGGGACTATGAACTGTCCCCAGAGGGTACAGACAGCAATGTCACATCCCCCACTTGTTTCATGGTGTGGCAGGGCATCTATTAGCCTAGTACAGTTCCTTAGCATTAGTGGAATCATAATTCACCTTTGAATGTCTGAATAGTTTTGTGTTATTAAGCTTCTCTAATATTACACATTCCGTTCACTATAACATGCTAAATTGTGCATTGATCTTCTCTTCCTTCACAGTTAGCTATAAATGATGAGCTTGTTCCTAACCTTAAAACATTTGCAATTACTCGGAAAACCATGTCACTGTCTAATAATATGAATAGAAGAATCTTAGGCACTTACTGCGATTGTTTCCAGGCAGATTTATTGCAACGTTTCAACCTGTCAAGGTCTTTATTAAGCTTGATAAAGACCTTGACAGGTCGAAACATTGCAATAAATCTGTCTGGAAACAATCGCAGTGAGTGTCTGAGATTCTTCTATCCATACATATTCCTTGTGTTTTTTTGCTGACCCATACTCAGTAGCACCCTGGGTTGAAATATTGTGGCTGAGTGCAACCCTACTTCTTTTTTTATTACTGTCTAATAATATGTCATTATTATGCTTGTTTGAGCTGTCGTGGCTGTACAAGCTTGTTTTGTTATTTTACGCACTCCTAAAAAAAAAGAATAATATATATATATATATATATATATATATATATATATATACAGCCAAAAGTACAAGATAGCACTCCAGGGACATCCAAGTAGAATTTTTGGTTTATATATATATACACTGCATATTACAAGATCCTTGTAAGAGCAGTGCATAGCTTGTGATTTTTAGTTATAATGCTCAGCACACGCTTCTAGAGTGAATCCATAGATGAAAGCACTTGTCAACACATGAATGCAGGAAGATTTCTGGATATCTGTAGAGCAACCTTCTTGTTATAAGAGGATACAGAAAGCCCCTTCTAGTTACTTTAATATTTTCTCTCATCCGCTTTCTCACACAGTAAAATAAGAGGAGGCCCTCACCTTGCGATTAGGAGTGGTTTGTTTTTTATTTCGATTTCACTTTGGTTATAGTATTAGAGCTCACTTTGAGAGCTCACATGAACCTTGCTTTATTTCTTCTACATATTTCACATATTTCACATATTTATGTGTCTGTTTACTACTATGTGCAGCCTTGAAAATATAACATATATATATATATATATATATATATATATATGTATATATATATATATATATATATATATATATATATATATATATATATATATATATATATATATATATATATATATATATATATATATATATATATATGTATATGTATATGTATATATATATATATATTATATTATATAATAAATCATTTTTCAGTTCAGGGTTTTTCAAGGTATAATTTTTCAGAAACCCAGAGTAAATTAATTTAAATATTTATTTTCCTGATAAAAACTATGTTTAATGAACTAGTACTAGTGAGATACAGCGTGTAAGGAGGTAACGTATGAATGAAATAGTATCAAACTGTTTACTTTGCAAAACAAATTTTAGTCCATAAATCCTCACTCACCCTCATTTTTATTCCAGGATGGATTACAAGTCAGGAGAAGAACACAATTCTCTTCCAGTAGCCACTGGCCACTCATTAAAAATATATAAGTATGAAAGTATGAAAATTAAAGCTCCCCTCTTCTTCTAAACATTAAAGTGAGTTTCAATGGGTTATACCATTCCTAAAGTAAGGGATGGCTCTCCCACTTCACTGTTAACATTACATTAGTATTTAAGGGATTGATAAATATTGCAGTAAAACCTGTAAATAGCTTTACTTTAGAGATGTATCTATATCTACTTACTGTATGTGGACATTATGTGCAAATGAAAGCATTCTTTTTACATTATAATATAGTTTCCAATCAGCTGTACTGCTAGAAATGACATCAGGGTTCTTACACATACATATACCATTTTATCTATTATTTGTCACTCTAAGTGTATGTGAGAAATATTATGTTTATGCCTTTAAACTAACATTTCAGACTTTATACTTTACAGATAAAGAGTATTGTATAATTTCTAAAGCTTTGCATTACTCAAAAAGGTTATATTAACCCCAGTAAGGTTGAATAAATAAATGAAAAATTTAATTTGTGAAAAAGTACTTCATTTTCATTTGTATGTTTGTCTGAGATGCAATTTATACAAAAAATTGCTGTTTCATAATATATCTATGCACTAGCTATGCATCCATTGTTTCAAATAAATGTTATGCTAATAGTCTTTCAAATTATACATCTTTAGACACAGATGGATAGATTGGCATTGCTAACTTTAATTATTATTATTATTATTATGATATTTATAGAGCGCCGTCAAAATACGCAGCGCTTTACAATGGGAGGATGAACAGACATGTAGTTGTAACCAGACAAGTTGGACACACAGGAACAGAGGGGTTGAGGGCCCTGCTCAATGAGCGTACATGCTAGAGGGAGTGGGGTAAAATGACACAAAAAGGTAAGGATAGTATTAGACTAATGACAGTTGCAAGAGAGGAATCAGTCCGGAGCTATTAACAGTTTAATGGATACGCTTTTATGAAGAAGTGGGTTTTTAACGATTTTTTGAAGGCATGGAGACTGGGTGAGCATCTAAGGGAGGAGGGAAGCGAGTTCCACAGGAACGGTGCAGACCTCGAGAAATCTTGAAGGCGAGCATCAGAAGTGGGAGTATGTACAGAAGATAGACGTAAGTCTTCAGCAGATCATAAGGGCTTAGACGGGACATACTTGTATATAAGGGAGGATAGATAGGTGGGAGAGGCATTATGTAGAGATTTGAAAGCAAGAACCAGAATTTTAAATTGAGCTCTATATTTTATAGGAAGCCAATGTAGGGATTGACAGATGGGTGAGGCATGGGAGGTGTGTGCGGACAGGAAGATGAGTCTCGCCGCCGCCGCATTCATTATGGACTGTAACGGCGCTAGTTGGGAGCACGTAAGACCACTGAGAAGCGGATTACAGTAGTCAAGGCGAGAAAAGACAGTGGAATAGACCAACACCTTAGTCGCATCTGGCATTACTATTGCTGGAGCTCTTACTACAGCACTATCTCACTCATATGTATGTAAAATGTAAAAATAAAATACAAATTGTTTTTATATGCTGGGTTCTTTAACCTATTAATGCCATTAGTGTGTACCATGCTGTCCTGTACAATATGGACTTAAACATCTAAAGGGCGGCACGGTACGCTCTAACAATCATTAGCGCTCTGCCCATAGAAACTTACCTGGCCCAGTAATCTGAGTTGCTCCCGGTCTGGGGGGACTGCCTGACCCTGTAGCTTTCCCAAACATCATAAAACTTGTACATATGGGGTACTGTTATACTCATGAAACTTCGCTGAACACAAATACGTGTGGTTTAAAATGCTGAAACTTGAAATTTGACGTTCAATGAAAGCATGTTACTCCTGAACAAAATGTTATATAAGCGTGGGTGCACTTGATACGAAAGAGGTAAATTATGGTTGAAAAGACATATAGCTCAAATTCTACGTTTTGTTTATGTTTTGTTTTGATCAGAACTTGTACAATTGCCTCCGTCCTTAAGGGGTTAAATACATTGGAAAAAAGACAATGAATAGGTATTTTGAGTACAAACGTGTCTTAACCCCTTAAGGACACAACTTCTGGAATAAAAGGGAATCGTGACAGAATATTTCCATCATTTGTCCTTAAGGAGTTAAATTATTGTTTCTCTATTAAGCTTTGTCAAATATGTAGCTGGCATCATTATTACATTTGACAAGTTACAGCAAGAAAATTAAAAAGAAAAAGGCATAATTCTGATTTATTCATACTGATCTTTAAAAAACAACAACAAAAAAAACAGCATTGAGTGCTCTATTCACTTGCTAATGGATTTGCTACAAGGTCAAACAACATAAAAACTGTATATAATATCTAGGAAATTACTGTGCACAAATTGTATGGTTGAACTATCACAGAAAAATGAACGTACGTAGCTCTAAGCCTAGAACTACTGACATGTTAAACCTATTGCTCCAAAAATGAATACACAGTTTAAATCAATAAAACTATCTCAATAAAACTAAAATATAATATTTGTGTTGTTATGGGATATCATTCTCTTTATCAAGTGTCCAACTCCTACATTTTCTTTTTGTTTTCTCGTTTCACAGGTTAATAATAATGATTACTAATCTATACAGATCTACTTAACACAGTGATTAAATATACCAGTTATTTATTAGTTGGCAAAAGGGACAGTCTTCGGCACTCCAGATATTTTATAGTCTCCATCTGTCCCGATGCTTTGCCAGTTTTACAGCTGTAAGGGCATTATGGGAGATGTAGTCCATAACATCTGGAGTGCCAAAGGTTGCCTACCTCTAGTGCTATTGGCTGTCAAAGTCTGTCCTACATAAAGAACACAATAAGTAAAACTATTGAGGTCTTAAGGAATCCTATTTTCCAATAAAAATGCCTTCGATATGTTCCCCTGTATGCCACACCTGGTGTGATAGGAGATGGGATTTGGAGGGAAAACCTATTTCTAATATTTCTAGTAGTTAGAGAAGGTATGATTATTGAAGAACGTTGTAGGATGTTTAATATTTTCAGATAAATATTTCCCAACATAAAAAAAACACAATTACACAACTTAAACAAAAAATCAAGAAAACTGAAAAAAATAATTCACATTCTCTCTACTTTTAATGAGTAGTGATGTCCCGAACGGTTCGTCGAACGGTTCGCCGAACGGTTCGCCACAGACGGCGAACATAAACATAAACTTTGACCCTGTACCTCACAGTCAGCAGAGACATTCCAGCCAATCAGCAGCAGACCCTCCCTCCCAGACTCTCCCACCTCCTGGACAGCATCCATTTTACATTCATTGTGAAGCTGCATTCTTAGTGAGCTGTCCAGGAGGTGGAGGGTGGGAGGGAGGGTCTGCTGCTGATTGGCTGGAATGTGTCTGCTGACTGTGAGGTACAGGGTCAAAGTTTATGTTTATGTTCGCCGTCCGTGGCGAACCGTTCGGCAAACCGTTCGGCAAACCGTTCGGCGAACCGTTCGGGACATCACTATTAATGAGGTCATGTTAATCTTCAACACTATTATTTGAATTAGTTATTCTATGGACAGGGGAGCAGACTGAGAATTCGGTAATATACGTTTTGTTTTTTACTTCTTGTTTTGACAAGTGACTTTTTAGGGCTTATTGCCTATCAAATTCTATCTATATTTCCAGTCTATATACTTTCATTGTGCAAAAATTTCATTGTATTACCAATAATGCTCAGAAGCTGTTTTGAACATAATTTAATGACAAATTAATATCACAACAATTCATACATTTTTTTTGTAAATATAATTTTATTATATTTTGCAGGAATCATTACAACGGTTAACAGCAATAATCATTCGTAAAGATGAGATTCGTTGGTCCCCCAAAGGCTGTTATAAACTGAGGCGCGCAGGCCCCTTTCCTTCCTAAATAATCTTTGTGATATACTTGCAGGTCTCTAGTTTTTGGGTCTCAGTATATCTCTACGGGACGCGCAGTTCCCTGCTAGTCACTCAAACAGTAATCTTTTAAATATATATCAAGAAGCAGGTTAATGGCATTCCAACAGGTCTCTTTGTAACCATAGACAGTATTGAACAGTTAGGAGTGTGTCCGCGAATTTGTCCCCTGTCGTTGTCAGTATCCAGTGTGTCCAGATGTCAAGACAATTCATACATTTTAAGGTGACAAACTGTAAACACAAGATTTGAGTAGGAACATCATTCATTGTGTAGTGTGGACAGTAGGAGGAGCTGTACAAATATAAAACGCTATAAAATAAAGTACAGCTGGCCCTTATTTCATGAGACTCTTTGATTGATTCTGTGATTAATTGACTCTGTTACAGTTTGTTGTTCTGTAAATTAATGCCTGTTTTTTTTTTTTTATTATGTCCGACATTTGTTTGATTCCTGTCCAGGTATTTTTTAGCAGGAATACAAAAATCTATAATATAAGTGATTGGGAAAAAAAAACCTACTATAATATGTATTTCATACAACAAATATATTTGAATCCAGATGTATCCAATATACATTTGTTTTTTATCATAGCAAAATAGAAATTCTTGTGGTTGAAACAAGCAGAGAGATGTTCAATTCCAGCAAAGTAGCCCGAGGAAATTATTATACGGTGTCTTCTTATACGATGTAACATCATTGGAAATCCCCATGTTTAATTATTATTACAAGGTCTAGAAGAAATATATATGCTTGGGATTTCTACAATATGTCTTATTACAGTATATAGAATATACTTCCAAAGAAGTATTTAGGGGTTTTTGCTGAACTAGGAAATTTAGAAAATTTGCAAGGATGTTTTTACCCATAATTCCTGTTTTGCTGAATAAACACTAATGCTTATTATTCTTTACTGGTAATAAGTATGATGAAATGCTTTGAGATATAATGCATAGATTCCCATGTTATTCTTCAAGAAAATGTATTCATTGGGAGGAGCTACAACTTTTATATAAGTCTGGCAGCCGTAGTTATAAAACAGTTAAATGTTAAATTATATTTTATCAACTTAAGGAGTCTTCTCTTTGTAGGAAATCGGTACAATTGATATCTCACAAAACTCATGAATATGTTAGAGTCACCAAATAGAGTGAAAAAGAAGAGTGACCAAGCTCAGTTCCTGGAAACCACAGGGTGCTTACTGAAGTAGGACCAGAAAATCTTTAGCATATGGTCTGTTGAAGAAGGGCCTTCAGGCACTCTCAGAGTTCAGAGATAAAGCAGATTTATTGGATCAAAAAATGCAACAAAGCAACGTTTCGACCTAAACAGTCACCAAAGGAAATTTAATTAATCTTAAGACATATTGCTACTCAGTAAAATCTGTGGAATTATTAGTAAACCATCTAATATCTTGAAATACATTTGGACATCGTGATAGAGTTAAAATGATGCTCTGTATTTTACAATACCCACAGCATCTGGTATATAACAAAAACCATACAGATATATCATAAAGATACACCAGAAACCATTAAACTGAAAGCAACACATATCTATAAAAACTCTCTGCAATGTTATAATAAACAAAAGCACTTTTAGATTACCTGAAGGGCTTAAGAATACCCACCTCAACCTGTAACTGAGGTGTTAGATTGAATAATCCCTGCTCTCAAATATTTTGTGTTATCTTTTAAAATCATTTCATATTTTTGGATAAACATTTTAAATATTTTGTTTCAATATATATATATGATTAGCCCTTGCACTCCAACTCAAAAAAACAATAATACCCGGTGCTCTGGTAGCTAAGCACTATATACAAAAAAATACTGGCACAACGTTTCAGCTCCCTTACGTATCCTGATGAAAGCTCTGTAAGGGAGCTGAAACGTTGATGTCATTTAGAATAAAGAAGACAATATTCTGGAAATTCTTGGAGTGCCGGTATTTTTTTGTATATATATATATATATATATATATATATCAAAATATAAAAAAATATAAAATATAGATCATATCTCTGCAGTCACAGGGCTCAATTTTCTTCCATTTAGGAGCTGAATCTATTTTGTTTCTATGTATGCAGTCCTAGTCACACCTCACCTTGCTATAACTCAACATTATTTTTTTTTAAATTTTCAATCAAATCGTACAGCACAATGTGTTAACTTTAGACATTTTTATCTTCTGATCTGTTAATTGATCTTAAATAACACCCAGGAGGCTGTTGTTGGCTCTAGCAGGCTTTTAGAATAGCAGGGTGTAAGATATTCTAAATTAAAGGGATCCTATAGTGCCAGGAAAACAAAGTCGATTTCCTGGCACTATAGGGTTAATAGGTTCCTCCCTCCCTTTGTGCCCCTCTCCGGCGGGGCTAAAGGGGTTAAAACCCCTTCAGCCACTTACCTGAATCTAGCACTTCAATTAGCTGAAGTCGCCTGGGTGCCTACAGTGTCCCTTTAAATATTTTATTCAATAAGAGAACCTAAAAATGGAGACTGTTTTTAAGGGAGGGTATAGGGTGGTTTACGAGTCTCAGGCAGGGGAGATGTGGCTAGGGCTGCATAGACAAAGTAATGTAACAAGGCAAGGAATTAAGCAGTGAGACTATGATCTATAAACCAAAACCACTCAATTAAGCTGAAGTTCTGAGAGTAACCCTCCACATTGTATGTGCTTTGTGGTTATGCTGATTGAGATATAGATATATAATTTAGAAAGCTCTTGCACTCCAACCCATGTAAGTATAAAGTACCTGGTGCTCTGGTAGCATTAGATATAGAAAAAATAGAAGATACACACAGTACCAGGTATAGAAGTGGTAAACCCCTGAACCGCCTGATGATGTTAGTGCAGCGCTGTATAATGGTATTTAATGACTCACCCTTGAGAATTTAGTGTGGTTGAGATCATACATAAAAGGAAAAATAAAAGTATATGGTATAATATTAAATAACATGTTACCTAAAAACATACCAGCTATAAAGTTTAGAGCCTATGTCTAAAGGCTCTTTACCATGTGAGTTTGTTATCACTCACCCTTATCTCTAATATCACTGTGTCAACAATATTATACCACATACTTTTATTTTTCCTTTTATGTATGATCTCAACCACCCTAAATTCTCAAGGGTGAGTCATTAAATACCATTATACAGCGCTGCACATGTGTCCTGATGAAAGCTCCACTGAGCTTGACTGGGATATGAAATAAACGTTGACTGGGATATGAAATAAAGAAGAATCATATACTCAAATCCTTGGAGTGCCGGTATTCCTATTTTATACATATATATAATCTGTTCCTTTATAAATAGCTTCTATTGTGTGTGAGTGAGTGAACAGTTTACATAAAGGGACATTATAGTCACCTGAACAACTACAGCTTAATGTAGTTGTTCAGGTGAGATCTATAGCTCCCTGCAGGCAATCTAATGTAAACACAGTGTTTACATTGATTGATAGTAATACCTCCAGTGTCCGTCACTCAGACGGCCACCAGAGGGACTTCCTATCATGTATGGACCTAAAAAGGTCATGTACATGTCAGACGTATTAAAATACGTCTGACGTGTGCAGGAGAGAGAAGGCACTGTGTGCGCGCCTTCTCTCTCCTTCCAGTCAGCAGAGGAGAGGACGCCGCCCTATGAAGTATTTGCGCATGTACGACGAAGCCGCGCATGCGCACAAGGGAGCAATGACGCTTCCAAATGGAAGCGTCTGATTGCTCCCTGCTCGCACCCACCTATTTAATCATTTTGACGAAATAGGGGGCGCGGCTTCACGAGGCTCCCGGGGCTGGAACCGGGTGAGTAAAAACGGCTGCATGTAGAGTCCCTCTAAAATGCACATTTAACTTGTGGGGATTTTTAAAAGAATTTTATAATAGCTTGCACTATTAAATTTGTGTTTTGGTATTTTTTGCACCATAGGCTATTTGTATCCTACAGATCGTCCAAAAAGCACATTTATTCTCTCTGTTTCTAAGTCTAGGATGTATAAGGAAGCAATGTTTAATTAGTAAAGAGCTTAGATATATGTGCTAAATACGGTTAAACATTTATCGTGAGGAGATACATCAACACTAATGTTAAAATGGATTTGTCAGTTCTCAATATTTTATAACGATAAATCTTTTATGAAAATAAATATACATTGTGTTGGAATTTCACAGCAATTTTAATGTGATCAACTAGAAATACATAAGTCAATTTAATGTGTGCCTCATAAAACAGAAAAATGTTTTCATCTACTACATCACCCTAAATTTCAACAGCCAATTGCAAGAGACACTTTCTTATGCAATGCTTGGCCGATTCATATAGCATCACATGTGTGAAAAGATATGTGGAGGACTTCAGGATTGCATTACAAAGGAAGGAGCACTTCAGGTATACATATATCATCCCTCTTCTTCTCCCTCCACGAGTTACCATCCAGAAGACATATCAC